TCAGCTCACTCAATAATATCTCAATATGGCAGGGCTGGAATTCCCCGCGGTGTATGGATCAATGAGTCAAGGGCCAGCATTCCTCGTGGGGGAATCTCCCAGTGACCATGCAGGAAAGTACATCCACATCATCATGACATAAGTCCCCTTCCACCATCTTTGTGTTTGTTTGTTAGTGTGTGTGTGTGTGTGTGTTTGTGTGTGTGTTTGTGTAACTGCAGGGAAGTACATCCACATCATCATGACATAAGTCCCCTTCCACCATCTTTGTGTTTGTTTGTTAGTGTGTGTGTGTGTGTGTGTTTGTGTGTGTGTTTGTGTAACTGCAGGGAAGTACATCCACATCATCATGACATAAGTCCCCTTCCACCATCTTTGTGTTTGTTTGTTAGTTTGTGTGTGTGCGTGTGTGTGCGTGTGAGTGTGTGTGCGTGTGAGTGTGTGTGTGTGTGTGTGTGTGTGTGTGTGTGAGTGTGTGTGTGTTTGTGTAAGTACAGAGAAGTACATCCACTCCGTCATGACTAAAGTCCCCCTTCCACCATCTTTGTGTTTGTTTGTTAGTTTGTGTGTGTGTGTGTGCGTGTGTGTGTGTGTGTGTGTGTGTGTGTGTGTTTGTGTAAGTACAGAGAAGTACATCCACATCATCATGACATAAGTCCCTCTTCGACCATCTTTGTGTTTGTTTGTGCGGTTTTTTGTTTGTTTGTTTGTTTGTTAGTGACAGTACAGAGAAATACATCCACTCCGTCACGACTCGTCCCCCATTACCATCTCTACGTTTGTTTGTTTGTTTGTTTAAGTACAGTGAGGAGGAAAATTGACATCATCAGGACTGAAGTCCCCTGCGACCATCCATTTGTTTGTTTGTTTGTATGTATGTTTGTTTGTGTGAGAACAGAGAAGCAAATCAACGCCATCACGACTGAAGTACCCTACGACAATCTGTGTGTTTGTTTGCTTGTTTGTTTGTTAGTGTGTCTGTTAGTTGGTGTGTTTGTGTGAGTACAGAGAAGCAAATCGACACCATCATGACTGAAGTCCCCTACGACCATAGACTATGTGTGAGTGGGTGGTTGGCGGGTGCTCTGGTGTGGTTTGCTCCTTCTTTCTTATCAAACATCTATCGTCCTGATCTCTCCTCCTTGTTTTTTTTTGTTTGTTACTCTCATGTAACACCTCTAATCTTCGGCACTTATATGACCTTATTTTGTTGCAAGTGCCGTAAAACCTTTACTAAAACTAATAGACTATGTGTTCTCTTGTTTGTTTGTTTATGTGTTTATTTGTTTGTTTGTGTGTTTATTTGTTTGAGACTGCGTGGATACAGAGAAGCAAATCAACACCACCATGACGCAAATAAGTCCCCAACGACCCCCATGTGTCTCTATTTTGGGTTTGTTAGCCGAGAGAGAGAACGGAGAGGACAGGATAACCGTCACAGAGACAGAGGGGAGAGGAGATTGTATCATATTATATCGTTTTTTTTTTTTTTT